TTTGTTGGAACGGTTGAAAACCGAAGTGGGTTTGGCTCGGTTCTAAAGAAACATGAACCAATCGTATCTCACGCAGTTCACTGAACTTATGAACAACAGCTGCTGCTTATCGTAAAAAAAGTCGAGATCTTAAAAAAGAATAATTGTATAGAGCTGTGAGATCTCGTATATCTAGTCGCATTGTATTATATGAGTCGACTATGTAAATAAAAATCAGATTCAATTCTAAGAAATCAAAATGTACTTGAGATATCCTTTGTAAGACTTTTAAGGTTTTCTCTCATTTTCACAAGTGATTCTAATCAAATTGAGAGATTAATTATGTTTAAACAGATATATTCACCCTACAGAAACTAGAAATTCAAGGAAATCGAGTGGGATTTAGTGTTTTGACCGCTATGTCGATATTACATATGTCAGTTTTTGTAAACGTTGTCTACGACAACAAAAGCAATTTTCGTTTTTGCTCAAAATATATCCAGATTTTCATGAAGTAACAACAGATTTTCTCGACAATTCAAAATTGGCATGAATGGCATATTCGCTCCCTTTTGTCATCAAAAAATGCAAATTCATTGATGGCATTGATTTGTTTTTAGAAATTAAATACCATATGAAACCTTTCTTTTTGATTTCATGTATCCATCTAAAATGTGAGTAGAATGTCATCGAATATTCATAGTTAACAGAATCGAAAGGACGAACTCCTTAGTCAGAAAAGATTTTCTTCTGAGGAGTAGATGTCATCTGTAAAGAGACTTATTTCTTCACTCTGAGATAACAAAGATTAATCCTTTTTCAACTTAGTTCAACTTATTATGTCTTCCATTGTCAGTTTGTAGAATTCTGTAAATATTATGAATTTTTCAATTAGATAAGATATAGGATTTTTTTAATTGCATGACATTTGTTTACAAACAAGAACATATCAATTTGACAGATTCTGTCAACTTGATAGTAGGGTTTTGTAGTAACCAGTGACAGTAGTGACCTTGACGCAAGACGATACCTTATGATTTAAAACCTTCTTAGCTGACTAAACAAAACAAAATACAAACAATTTCGATACATGCTTAAGTTTGACAGCTCGATTCAATAATCTTACGTACAAAAGTAAAGAGTCAGAAGAAATTTATTTTCTTTGGCGTTTTCCAATAACTTACTCTTTTATCCTCTTTGCCTCAAAACTAGAAAAAAAAACAATATTATAAATACTAATAAATAAAATAATACAATTAAAAGTGTAACAATCGTTTTTGAGTATCAAAAGCATTTATGCATTCAATAACTAAATTGAAAAGCTAACATTCAAAATATCTATTCTATTTATTCTTCATGAGCAGCAACCCTTCTATTCTAGCATCTGAAGACGTTCACAAAAATGCTGATATTATAGGTCATGACATCTCCTGCATCATTTGGCTTGATGCTAATGTGAACACGAATGAGCGCCGAAGTGCAGAGCAAAAATTAGCCTCAATTGTTAAGCATTTCGAGAAGTTTCAAGATAAAGAACAGTGTCAGAAATATATTGAAGAACGATCAGGAAAAGATCGACTAATTATAATTGTTAGTGGCCGATTGGGAAAAGAAATAGTACCTTTTATTCACAATCTTCAACAAGTTATATCAATTTATGTGTACTGCATGGATAAAAGAATTAACGAACAATGGGCTTGCATATTCAGAAAAGTAACATTAAGATGAATGATTTCGATTGCATTTTATGATTTCTCGTTGATAGGTAAAAGCTGTTGTTGTTCAAGTTGAAGAACTTATTTCTCGAATTGAAACAGATCATCAAATTCAAAAAATGCTGGAAGAACCATTATCAAGCAAGAGTTCTACTACAAGAGTTGATGCAGGTAACTCAACAATAGGTGTGAATAGGCAATTTGTTATTCGAAAAGAGTGGAGGCGTGGGTATTTATATTGTCGCTAACCATGCTAACATCAACACCTACAACCACGTTTATCTACTTCAACTTTGATTTTCTTCAAATCGACGCTTTAAAATGAGTTACTTTAGCTTTGACTATTAAACTTTAAATTATCAGTTCAACTATAACTTGTAAAGTAAAGCTAAAGAGCCAACTGGATTATTCACCAAATTAACGCTCTACTAATCAGCCCTCACAGAATGGTCGTTCAGTCAATGAATAATCATCTAATTATTATTCTGCTACTTAGTTGAGAATCGAATGAGTGATCAGCTAATAGTAGTTACTTAGTTGGCATTAATTAGACAAGCTAGAAGGCTTTGTGCCATTGCCTTTGAATATCAGAGAAACACAGATAATTATTATTAGATGTGCCGAAATTATTGAAACTCATTCTTAAGTTGCACATATCTTGACTAAGAGAAATCATAAAATCTTGATTTTTTCTTCATAACACGCAGCACAAAAAGCTCAACAAAAGTTTTATGGACAAATCTGCGATGAAATTTTAAAAAAATCTATCTTACGCTATTTTTATTTATTATCAATTTAGAACAATATATAGCACGGAAAAAGATTAAAAAATTTCTGTAAAGGAAATTTTTTAAAATTTCATCGCATTTCGAAGCACCATCAATTGTAATTTTTCTTATTTTACGGTGCATCCGTTGTGTTCATCAATGACACAAGCAAACGAACGGAAAAGTCCTGGAAACATATACTGTTCTTATAGGTGTGGGTGTGGGCAGGTGTCGCTAAGAGAAGACCCACCCACACCCTGAAACTTTCTTTATCCCCCTCGTTCAACATTCACACTATTTTGCAGACACTTGTATATTTTAGAGTAGAGTGACACATTGTAAAATGCAGCTCCGTCTGTGATAGAGTCGGTGGCACGCAGATCATATGAGAAGAGCAAGGACTCTTGCAATATCAAACTGACGAAAAACTTTTCTCATTTATCAGCTTTTTTTCTGAGGAAAAATAGTAGGACTTTCTAAAAAAAGGTCTGTACACCCACTTGGTAGTGACTTTTTGAAAATTGTCTGCTCTATAACTTTCCAATAAGCCGCTCGATTTGACTCAAACTTTCATAGCAGATGTAAAGCAAAATGTTATGTAAGTGATAAAATCTTCAGCTCTTGATCTTGCACCATTCAGAATACAATTACTCTATACTAAAAAGAGTAGAGGGACATTGTTTTCTGTAAATATTTCAGGACGAACTCATTCAAAAGTATTGTTTACAGTAATAATTTAGTTCAGTAAAATTCGGTAAGCAAATATGGGTGAACTGTGTACTGCTCTGGCTACTCATTTTTCATTCAAATCTAAGAAATAATTCAAGTCTCGTCAACGAATAAAATCATTTTTATCATTGAATTAGACAAGCATTGCACTTAACAGCGTATATTTCCTTTACTATTTAATAAAGTGTAGAGAAACTTTTGCCTGTACAACGCCGTTATAGAGGATAATAAAATACACTACTCAGGAATTGCAAAGATCTAGTCTCTTTTTTTTTGGAGTTAATCATATCAAATAGTTGCAATTCACTCATAAATCAGTTTCACTTTTGATGATAATTTGCTGTTATTCTGACAACATAGAATTCCCCTAGATTCTAAAGAGTAGAATTTCAATAATATATCGAAAAATTAAGGTTTTATGTTCAAATCAGGAATGAAATGGTTATCCTTAATATGCATGAGTAAAAGTGCAACTAGAACTTAGAGAATTTTCGTAATCATTCACCTAATCGCCTTCATCAAGAAGATTTTCCTTTGCATCGATTGCCTTATTGAGAAGTCTAGAATGAGATTTTTGAAATATGTTTTTGTTTTGTATTTTTTCTGATATAAGTTTCCATCTATTTTCAATTGATCATGTACCTTTCTAATCGGTATCTGTGTCATCTAGTAGTATTCTTTTTTCCAAACGAATTCTTGAATAAAAGTGTGCATGAAGACAAGATTTCCGCTTGATGGTCTCCATACAGACACTTACACTTACCTCCTACAAAGACAACCACACCACTTTCTTGAATATCCTAACTTTTCAGAAAGAAAGAAAACATTTGATTGCAAAGTCGAAATTGTATTTCAGAAATAAATACGTACAAAATCTCAATGATTTTTAATCGGGATTTTCTAATATTGGATACTACAAGAAAACTCTGAAGTTTCAGACTTTATTTCTGCTTAAGTAGTTGTTTATTTGTTTTCAGCACTAAAAAGAAAAAGTACGTAGAATGAGACTAGACCGTTTATAAATATTGGACCATTTATAACTATTTTAACTGTTTGCTGGTTTCTATCAATTTTTACTTTGCAAAAATCAATTCGAACTCTTCAATGATACCCATAGAAGAATTCTTTTAATGAAATTTCAAATGATTCGTGTAGTTCAAAATTGATTAACTTCAACTCATGCGCTAAAATTTAGATGAAGTTGTACTCATTGAAGCCGACATAAAATTAAATGAATTTTATATTTGAGGTCTTTTCCATTTCAAATATGATGATTGACTACTGTAAAGAAGTAAAAGCTATTGTTTTTGAAAGAAGAGTTGAATATTAGTGGTCACGAACCCGTCTAAAACTTTGAAACTGTTGCCAATGGTAGGACGTACTATTTATATATTCATATGCTTTAGTACCATTGAAAATTCTCAAACCATTAACTGATATCAACGCCCTTCGTGGTCAAAATTGTACATTATCATTCACTTGTGATGAATTTTCATCACCAACAGTAACATGGTTAGTGATCTGAATGAATTCTAACTTCAAAACTTTCCTCCTTGCTTCTTTGAATCAGGTTTTCCAGTGATACCAAACTAACAGACTCTGAAAAATACAAGATCGAATCAAAAAAAAATACCTTTACACTGACCATTAACAAATGCGATTCTTCTGATGCCGGTACATATCATGCTCAGATTCAAAATGGCACCGATCAGACTAAACAAACCGCCAAACTTAATGTTGGAAGTTAGTAGTCTCATCATCTTCTATGCACAATATGAAAGACTACTTATTTTTTTTAGTTCAACCTAAAATGGAAGCTCCGAAGTCCGTAAACGATCAATCATGTGTCTTCGGTCAAGATACTCAAATCTCATGGAAATTCAGTGGTATCGAGAAACCACAAGTGGCACGGTCTTTTGACGGTCAACCACTTCCAACCAACAATCGTTTTCAAGTGACTGAGACTGGTGATGAAACATCGACACTATCGATTCTTCAAGCTGAACTTGCTGATCAAGGTGTCTATACTGCCCGAGCAATCAATGCTGTTGGTGAAGCTGAAGCTACAACAAAATTGAACATTGTTTGCATCAAACCTGTCATCAAAGCTGATCTCAATGCTGCACTGCAAGCCACAAAAGGTGAAACCATGACACTTAACATTGCTGTAAGTGGAATCCCAAAGCCTGACATTGTCTGGATGAGAGATAACGATGAACTCACACCCAATGACCGCATTCAGGTGACAATACTGACTCACGATGTTGATATATACACATTGACTATCTTAAACATGCAACCAGAAGATCAAGGAGAATATTCAGCCAAGATTTCCAATATTGGTGGATCACTTCAATCCAATAAGTGCAAAGTCACTATTTCTAGTACGTCATCTTAACTTTTATTGTTCTTAGACACATATGCCATTGTAGAATCACCAGTGTTTGTTGTCAAACCGACAATCCAAAAAGTGAAACAAGGTGAGACAGCCTTGTTCAAGACACAGATCGATGAATGCCCGCCACCAAAGATCAGTTGGCTTCTCAATGGCAAAGAGCTGATAACGAAAGAAGGTATTCAAGTGCAGTTCGATGATACGACTGGCCAAGCGAACTTGTCCATTTCGAACGTCGATCTGCAGCAACATGCTGGCTCGATTACTTGTCGTCTCGAAAAGCCGTATGGCTATCAAGAAGAAACTTTTCAACTCGCTGTTCTTGCTGCACCAATTATCATCACAGAGTTGCCCAAAGAACAAGAAATTGTGAGTGGACAAGATGTTACATTGAAAGTAGTCGTGCGAGGATCACCACGACCATCTGCTCAATGGTTCTTCAAAGATAGACCCATTGGAACGAACAATGCATCAATAGACGAGGCGAATGATGAATATCAACTGCTGATCAAACAGGCAACAGTGACCCAGAGTGAAGGAACTTATCAAGTCGTGTTGAAGAATGAAGTTGGTGAAGTACAATCTATTCCATGTCTACTTACAGTACTGGAGCCAGTAAAATTGACAAGAGTGAAACCAACATCGAATATCATTGACTTGGGAGAAGGTAAAGCATTCGATATCACCGTGGATGTAAGTGGTAAGGAAACGCCTGAAGTTCAGCTGACAAAAGATGGCAAAGCAGTACAGTTCATAAACGGGGGAACAACACGATACATATTCTCAGTGGCTAGTGTAAAGCAAGAACATCAAGGTGTGTACAAGGTGACAGCAAAGAATAAGACGTCAAAGGAAGAAACAACTGTCACCCTGAATGTTACTGGTAAGTTTGCCTGCATTTTCTAACCAAATGTCACAGCAGTATACACTTTCTGTGCACTCTCATGAGATGAGAGCTTCTCAATTGTCTTTGATTGGCATTGTGTAGCTAGTATGGGGATAAGTTTTGTCGTACGCATGAAAACTTTCAGTTGCAGTGTAAAGTCGAGCGAAACTCTGCAACTGCTATCTTTCTCATTCATATTCATGCGTAGTACATTCCTTCTAAAGTTTATTATTTGCGAGTTGTATTCGATTAACATCACTAACACAACGATGTTTTAATGATTTTTTCAAATATTATGTGGTTCGATAATGCGTCTTTCAGTTGTTTTGAAAAGTTGAAATTTTCTCTAACAATGGAAGGTTTAGTACTGTTAGTAAAGAACATTAGACATGTTCGGGTCCAATTGAAGCTCTCACTGCTTATTCCAATAGACTTAAAATATGAGCTGTTCATGACATGAACTGAACAAGAGGATGGATTTTTTAAGTATTTACCGTATGTGTAACATTTTCACCAGGCAAATTTTTAACATTATTTTTTTTTCGTGGTGGATGGATGAGATGTGGGTGTAGACATGAGTACGGGTAGGTATGGGTTTGGATAGGTCTTTTTTTCACCCCACGCACTCTAGTTTTTTCTGTGATTGAAAAGGAATGATCACGAAGAAAGTGGTAAGTGCCGATCTTTGATTTACATGACATTTTCACAAAAATTAGAAGAACTACTCATAATTTCTAAACTGATATTCTTCATTACCTATCCAAAAAAAGACTTTTTAGAAAAAACTTTTGTTCTTCTGCTCCCAAGGTCTTGACCATCTTTCACTCCATAAGAAACGAGGAAAAAAGAGTTTCGTCCAGGGGTGCATGTCAGAGTCTATATCACTCATTATCTTTGTAAATTTATCTAGTCTTTCATGAGAAGAGTTCGGACTGAGTGTCGTATCTCATTAGAATCATTGACTTTTGAGCATCAAATGCACCAATGTAGCTTTTCGTTTGACTTAGTTTGATTATTGAGAAACTTGTTTTTTAAATTTCAATGATAACACCACATACATCTTTCAAAAAATGCGTTAGTATTTCGCACTTCTTTTTCACTATAACTGAATTTCAGATCAAAATCAATAGTATATTCGAAATCAACATAAAAAACTTATTGCATATCTTCAACATATCAGCTAATTTTTTTTCATGAAAAATGTATCTGAGGATGTGCAATTTCAATTAGCTGACCATTGACGTTACCAAATTAGTGTAGTTAGTGAACACTGACACCAGCATCAGCGTTCACTGAAACACTCGAAGACATCACTGCAAACAGCGCATATTTTAATAGAGTTGGTGACACAATGCTGCAGCAGATGTGGATGTTAGTGAAATTAATATCCCAGTGGATTCTGTGCCGGTGACCGACTGTCAGTATTTCAGTATTGACATGAAAACTAAACATCGCTAAAAGCATGTTTCCATGCTTCATAAGTTTGTCTAATTTTACTGCTGCCATCAGAAAAATGCCCTTCTACTACAGAATTAAACAAAATAGAGAACAATTCAATGAGTATTTTTATAGATCGCGATAGGCCGATTCTAAGAAAATGAGACATTAGGTCTTATTCTTTCTCACAAAAAGAATCTACTGAAACTAATTCAAAACTTACAGTGGTGGTAGTAATCTATAGCGGATGTGTGATTGAGGGTTGGTGAGAGTAAGAGTGAAGAGGAAATCTGACACTTTCACATGAAGCCCTCATATACTCTGACGCCTGCACTCTCATGCATTTCATTTATACCCACATCCACACCCTGAAAGAAGCCTCTGCTTCTTATGTTAGAACCGGTGGCACCCGTTTATGCTCAGAGTAAGTCACCAAACAGTAAAAGCATATTGAATTTGATAGAAAATGACACCAACAAACTATTAATATATAAATGGTTGTTTTGAATTCCAGGTGCTCCGAAAATGGCTACTGTTGGAATTTTCTCCACCATCATGAAGGTCAGACGATAATCGCTTTAGGAAACGCATGTTCATCAAATATCTCATACATTTTAGGCTTTCACTGCTGAAACCAGTGCTATAGAAAATACAGGTAGGATATCGTTAAATTTAGCCTTGAAACTGAGCATGATTAGTGATGACGAGAGTTATGTGAATAAAATCACTGCCATTCTTCAGATACATTGCGCTCACGCGAGAAACTAGTAGATGATACGATCACTTTTCGAAGAATTCCTCTCACTTGTCTATAGTTCGTGTACGTGAAATTACTCGCTTTTGTTGGATAAACTTCATAATTTATTTATAGACTGAAATTGTGTGTCACTTATCAGAATAAGATTTCCATTCCCTTCACATTTTGTCATGACATCACGACAAAAGTATATGCACAGTTTTTGAAATAAAGGAGAATGTAAGGATTCTGTCTTTTAAGAAAATGTTGTGCTCTCTTATTAGCTTGAATAAGGAACACAGCTCAATTCATTAAATTCTCGCATAACTGGAAGAGCGGTTTTTAAAAAAGGCTTTTACAAGTACATGAAACTACTAGAAGCTCAGTATCTGATAGAAAATCGAGTAAAAATTAGAAACAAAATATGATTTTGCGTTCAGCTATTGTCATTCAGTAACGAACAAGCTATTTGTTTTGGTTCACTTTCTGGAGGGCACCAATTTAGGTATGATCGTTTTCCCATTGAACGACAACTATACATATTAGAGTTGTTCGAAGGTGATAAATAACAGAAGTTTTATAAGTCTCACCCCATTTCGAAACATGTTTTTGGTTTTTTTTGGAAAAACAATCACCTTGCTCTAGACGATTGGTAATGCTTAACCAGCAATATCACGTGATGGTTAGCTTTTCTCAAGGTCATTTAAACAAAACAAGTGTTGTAACTTATACCAACGTTTTGGATTGTGCAACAAAAGAGGATTAAACAAGAAAATCTATGATTAGAAATCAACATACCTAAAACAAGTCAACTATATAGTCTCGTAGATACCTTGGTTAAGGTAACTTATTCTCACGCTATATGTAGAAGTGTACATGGATTTTCCTTGTTGATTGGAATCAATCAACTTCTGTTCTATATTTAATTCTTTTCCATCCAAATTTTAGTGACAACGTGAGTATCTATATAATGAGCAACTCAAATCTTCATAAGTTTGAAATATGAAAACAAAAAGAACTTACCGCAAAATTGTTCGATTCACCTTTTTCCATAGTTTTTTAACAATATGTGTGAATGCTCCTGTAAATCCTTCTAGTTTTTGTCAGTGCCTTCCGTTACGATGTTACTTCCAGTTGCATTGATTATTTGAGTAATGTAAGCGATTTAGGTTTCTCACGAGCATGTTTATTACTGCGGTTCGTTGAATTTCACAACTTTCTTTACTTCTTTGAATTTCTAGAAATTCTTGTTCATACGAACATGTGAGCCAGACCTTGATAAAACCCTAATCAAATCTTGCCAGAAACTGCTCCGCCATTGCACTTGAAATCTTGAGTAAGATCGAGTGTAAATCCTACTAATGTTCTGTAACCCTGATGTTGAAAAAATTCCTCCTGAAACTTGCAGAAAGCGTAAGAAAAGTTACAGGAAGACCGTTAATGAATCCTTGTAATGATAATGTTTTGCATAGCTTTGCAAGAACTTGAAATACTGGTTCTTTGAAACCTTCGAACATAATTCTAGACAGTTCCAGTGAAGATTCTTATAACAAATATGTATCAGATATGAGGAATTCTCATGGAATGTTGTCAGAATTTTTCAATGTACAATTTTGATACAGCTCGTTATTTTCTGGCTGTCAAGTCAGACAAGAGCGCCAAAAAAACTCATTAAAACACGCTAAAATGTTCGTTAATACGACGTTTTTACTCATTTACGCGGCAAATCTAACGAATTCTACCGCTTTCAAAAGCAGCGACCCGTATTGACGCTTAAAGATCAGTTGATAAAATAAATTTTCATGCATATTTTCTTGAACGCATTGGACAATGGTCAACAATAACTTTTTATTTTCTACTATTTTTAAGCAATTGAACACGTTTAAACGGATTTGTTTCTTAAGATTTGTTGAAATGCATGATGCTTAGTCCGATCACTAGAGGCCAACAGTTTTGATAGGTAAAAAAGAAAACCAAAAAAACTTCGAATTTCTGCTCATAAAAAATATCTTTGAAATCGGTGACTTTATAATAGTAAATCAAATAGCTGATATAATAAATTTTTTACTATAAATTTCTAATT